GTTTATATTTTATATTAGTTCATGTTGCTTTTGTGCAATAGATGAATAACAATTTATTTGTTTTAGATATTTTATGTTTAGATATTTCTATTTTGCGGGAGTCCCGTGAATCATTGTATTCTCCTGCATCCCTCACACACACACAAGTGTCTACCCGCTCGCACCAGCACTCGCCCATCTTGTCCCGCGTGGCACTCTGTTGCGTCGGGTCTCGCGGGAGCAGGTCTCTAATCCACTGGCACTTGACTCGACAGTGCGTGAGCTACATCCTTTTTACAATCTCTAGATTATAAAACACTGCATTCTGTCAGCAATGTAACGCAGCAGTAACGTATAGAGACCTCGGCTTGTAACTATACTCTAATTACTATTTTGAAAATTATAATGCGTTAAATTACTCCGTTACTAAAAAAGTAATCAAATTACAGTAACGCGTTACTAAGTAATGTGTTACTGCCCAACACTGTCCGTTATAGTTACATCAAAAAAGAAACTATTCAGATAACAGTTACATTTTGTAAAAAGTGGGAATACTATCAGAATTACATTTGTTTCATTTAAAATTAAATAAATTTGTATTTTTACATACTAACGATATACTTAGCGCTGCTTCTTCAGTTCCTGGTTCTGTTGACACACATGTTGACTCACGTGAGCCGCCTGCTGGTGCGTGCGCAAATAACACCCGTTTAAAATTATTCTCCTCAAACGCGGGATGAGACGCTGCTACAGTTAATTAATTACGATGCTTCCTTTTTCATGTCTGCAAATTTCACAGTTATTTTGTTTTCAAAGAGGATAAAGGAAATAACATAGTTGTACAGCGTAAGCTGCATGAAGACTCTTGCTTTAACAAAGGTTACTCAACCAACTTGAACATTTGCAGGTACGACTAGCATGAAAATAATCATGTTAGCTAAAGTGTTTGTTAGTGATTTAAAATTCCATGGTGTGCATGACTGCAGTTGTAAGTTTTCTAGCGGAAAATGTAGAAATTAACATGGGAGTCCCCACACCCCGGATCAGTCAATGAAATAAAGAAAGATCATAGCATTTCACATGCATTTCGACATGTAAGCTTATTTTAAAATAGACTAATATGTATATGGTGTACATTTTTTAATGTTGTATATAAACTATATTTATTTTTACGTGTACATGTTAAATAAATAAATAAATAATAATAACAATAAAACTAATACTAAACTGTATAGCCACTAGATGTCTGCATAGCCTTTTATGTAAATATACTTGCTGTAATATCTAGATGGTGAAACGACACGATTTTTTATATTTTCAAATAGTTTTTACTAGTTTTAATTTTAAAGTCATAGTTAAATAAAAGTACTTAGATATTGTTTTTTGACTTATTTACATATGTAACTTGAAGTAATCCAAAAGTAATCAGATTACATTACTTTTATACTGTGGTACTTGGATTACGTTACTGAATACTTTTTTAATGAAGTAATTTGTAACTGTAACGGAATACAGTTTAAAAGTAACCCTTCCAACCCTGATGCCAAAACATGGATGCCTAGTGAGCTACCTTGCTGCTTACTTCATAGGCAGCATATTAGTTGAAACAGAACCTGCATGTATGCAACAATTTGGATCATGTGTTATTTGATAACCAATAACACATCACTGACTTCCTTTCAAATGTATGAAATAATAGTTGTGGTAGAAATGTCACAGAAATGAATGAGAAGTGTTATAAACTGAATGCTATACCTGTCACAAAGTTGTCTATGACTTTTCTTATAAAACAACACATTTTCTCCTTATAAATTCTGAAAATAGATCAATCAAGAAAGAATGTTTAATGGCAAACATTAAGCTGTCGATTAGAGTTGTATGGTAGAATATTATTCCGAAATCCAAATTCATCCCATTTTTAAACTGAGCTTGTTGCAATCCATTATGGGACTGCATCCTACAAGTTATCTTGCCTATGATAAATTAGAGGTTTAAAAAAGGGAAATTCTGTCATCATTTTCTCACCCTCATGTCGTTCCAAACCTATGACTTTCTTTTTCTGTGGAACATAAAAGATATTTTGAGAACTTTCTCAATGTCTTTTATATCCATACAATGGAAGTCAATGGTCATCAAAACCGTTTGGTTACCAACATTGTTCAGAAAATCTTCTTTTATGTTCCACAGAAGCAAGAAATTCATTCAGGTTTAGAACAACATGAGGGTGAGTAAATTATGACAAAAGTTCATTTTTAATATGCAACCTATGTAGGCTACCTTCTAGGATTTAGTTTGTATCTGTACTGTGATCATATCTGTTACCTTCATGTTCTGTTCTAACATCTCTCTCTAAACCATGTGAGTAATTGAGCTGGATGTGTTGTAAGGGCTAGTGTATCCTGTCCGCTGATATCTGCTTCATCACGCAAGCAAGAGCTTGTAGCAAAGACAACGACATGGTCAACAGTCTGTGACCTTCCTTTGCCCAGAGGATTCTGCAGAAAAGTAGGATGATGAACGTGTTGTTTTTATACTGTAGATCAGTAGTCCAAGTCTTAATTGCACTGCAAACATTCTTTGTTCTTGTATGCTATCCTGATTGTTCACATTCAGCAAACAGTGAAATGAGTTTAGGGAGCCAATGAGGCTCACACTGCTTGCCTTATTACTCGACATGATGTTTGCAGCTTTAATCAGTGGAAAAAAACAACATCGGGGGCATTCCAGTTCTCTGTCTTGTTTTGGGAGTAGAGGTGGGGATTGTGACCAAAATACAGTCATGTTACGAGGTTATATTATGCTAACTGTATATATCCATTGCCTAAAATTTAGCCAAAAATATTTTATGCATTGTATAATGATGCAGTAATGCCTATTTTTAATAGTTCATAATTTTTCATTTATATTTACTTTTTTATATTTGTAACAAAGCAAAAGCATGTAGTTCTGTCAGGACCACTATCGTCAAAGATAATTTACAATTAACATACATTTTAGGTTGGGGGTATGGTTCTGTTCTGGGCAACCAACATTAATGATTAATGTAGCAGATATCATCAATGTTCTAAGTGATTATTTTATATATCAACATAATTCAGTGGTCTGACTCAAGAAGAAATATCCAATGCCAAGTCCTGACTGGACGAGAGGAGGAGTTGGGGATGGAGGTGGGTGATTAGCTCCTGAGCAAAGCGATAGCTGCTGAATAATGACTGAAGGGACCTTACAAGGGAATTATGATTGGCATCGTATTCCTATAGGTAGACGTGGATCAGCTGAGTGTCAGCTGATGCGAGCTAGACTAACGTGACCTGCCAGAACTAACGCTACGCTCCATTTTTGTGAATTTTGGGACTTTGGAGCCCCTACAGTAAAGTGAGTGGAACTGACTGTCGTAAATGTATCACTGTTGTAATTACAGAACAAAGACTTTAAAATAGCTTTTGATTTCTAAAAGTTCAAAGTTGTGACATTATTTGGCAACCATAAACAACTGTATAAACCAATATAGTAACAATGTGTCAATATTAAATCGCTTTTATGAAGCTGTCTGCTGTCTTTTTGAAAGAAGTTAATAGGAACATTTTAATTAATCTAGGACCAGTTAAAGGTGACAGTAAAAACATTAATAGTTTTTTTTTTTTTTTTCTGCTGTCTTTTTGAAAGAAGTTAATAGGAACATTTTAATTAATCTAGGACCAGTTAAAGGTGACAGTAAAAACATTAATAGTTTTTTTTTTTTTTTTTCAAATTAATAATGTTTGAGATTTGAAGTTTCTTTCATCAAAGAATCCTGGGGAGGGGGTGGGGAAGACTGAAGCACTTTTTTTATTTTATTTTATTTATTTTATTTTTTTAATTTTTAACAATAATAACAACAACAACAATAATAATAAATGTTTCTTGAGCAGCAAATTATTACTGTACAATATGACTGTTTTTTACTGTATTTTTGATCAAATAAATGCAGCCTTGGTGAGCATGAGAAACAAAAATATGAAACATGAAAAATCTTAGTTACACTTTATTTTAAGGTGTCCTTGTTACAGTGTAATTATACATTTAAGTACTGAGTAATATTAAGTAACTACATGTACTTTCTATATGGTTAGGATTATGATTAGGGTTTGGCTTTGGGTTACTGTAATTATGCATAATTTATTGTTATTATAATAGTAACTACATGAAACGTGTAACAAGGACACCTTAAAATAAAGTGTTACCAATCTTAATATCCCCAAACTTTTCAATGGTAGTGTATGATTTAGTTTTCTGCTTTGTGAGATATTTTTAAAATAGCAACTGGAATATACAATTATATAAATTACATTTCTACCATGTATGTCACCGATTACATGATACGTATTACCATAACGTTCAGCTTTATTTGAGGGTATATTGTGCATTTGGTGTTTGATAATGCGTTGAACTCTTTGACTCTTTCCATCTATGCTTTAGGCTGTGTGGTGATAGCTGAAGCCTTCCTATGAGGTGAGCATATCGGTGTGGACCCCCGGCTCCCCTCCCAGTGCCAGCAGCAGCAGCAGCAGGACTAAGGGATGTCACAAGTATTCCTCCTTCTGACCCTGCTCTGTTTCTCCTCCTGCACCCAGGTCAGAGCTTATTCCCCTTCCTCTCTGTTTCTGTCACTCTCTATTAAGGTGACCAGATGTTTGTGAAAAAATCAGCACAATTACACATGTGCTCATTTTTGTTACTTACCTCTCGATATTCTGAAGAGGAAGCAGCGGTTGTACTTCTTTATATAATACTTACTGTTACCAATATCAGTTTCAATCATTTATTTATAGCAATCAGACCAAAGCCAAAAATGAATTATCTGGACAAATGGTGCTCTGTAACTCCATCAAGACGTGGGCCATGGCTCGTATAATAGGGACTGCCCTGATTTTATCTGGACATCTGCTCACCCTACTGTCTCCCTAACAGGGGCTTGATAGGCCCTGCTTTATGTACTTTATACTTTAGTATACTTTTAAGACGAGTACTTTTTATGGAAGTAATGTACTTTAAAATAATGTACTTAAGTGTGAGCTAAATGTTATTTGCAATTAAATGAAAATGCATTATAGTTTTAAATTATTTTAAATGTAAGTTGAACTTTAGAGTTCTTTATTGACTCACTTAAGCAAGACTGAAGTACATCTTAACATTTCATTTCATTTCATAATTATATCTGTTGTCTTTAAAACATGGTTAAAGTGTGCTGAGTCTGACGAATGTACTCACTAGCATTTATGGTAATAATTGTCATTTATATTGAAACTTGTTTATCATCTATTTAAATATTTTGTATGTATATCATCTATTTAATTACATAATAAACACAAGCACTTTAAATGTTTTTTAGTCAAATTGATGTCAACACATCAAAATAAGTGTATCACTAAAGACAATGAATACATAGCCTACTGATTTAAAATGAACTTAAAAGTAAAATGTTTAATTTGCCATTTTTACAAAGTGCACTTTTTAAAAGTGTGTTTAAGAAACAATCATAAAAGAGTTTGTTTGTGTGTGTGTGTGTGTGTGTGTGTGTGGGTGTGTGTGTGTGTGTGTATATATATATAAACATCAAGCCAGATAAATATATATAAATAAAGCTGAGAACAAATAGAAATGCCACACACGCACCGCTCAGCTCTTTTTCGAGTTGGCTTAGAGTCGGAGCATTATGCAACTCACTGAAAATTAGATTAGCCATTAATTAAGCATATTTATGTGATAAAAAAGAAAAACAAGAACATCACAGAGGTTCATTAATAAAGCCCAGCTTGCAGAAGTTCTGCAGTCGCTGTATTTTATGGTTAGATTTCAATACTCCATCTACACCCAAGGTAAGTGACGCAACACACTGCTTTGTTGTTTGTAATGGGATGTTCACCTCAGTATGAGGCTTATATAATGTATTTTAGTCACTATTTACTTGGGAAAGACCAGCCTTCACATTGTTCTAGCTAACTTATTTTGTGTTTTAAAGAAATTGAATTATAATACTTAATTAATTTAACCTTTTCATGCGGTCTTACTAATTGGCTCTTGCAGGTGTCATCTGCTGCATCCCTCAAAACTTTGATGGCAAGATGGATGATGTACCGAGATGAATGTTTTCTAAATATTAGCAGAGAACCACCGATGCCAGGTGAGTTGTTCAGCATCCTTCCACAAGTAATGGCTGGAGTCGCAGTCACAGCCATGTGTAAGTTCAGTAGAGGTCTTTCATAGACTCTGTCGACAGCCATGATGAAAGTGCACAGTGCTGTTAAGGGATGCATGTTGGAAAACACTGCTGAGACCTCTGATTAGGGGTCATGTCACATACTGATCCTGTCCAGCACTGCAAACAGAGCAGAGGAGACTTTAACATTAATGGTTGTTTTTCTAGGTATTGTGTGCAACAGAACATTTGATAAGTATGCCTGCTGGCCGGATGCACTGCCCAATACTACAGTGAGTGTGGCCTGCCCATGGTACTTGCCCTGGCACAAGGAAGGTAAGACTGCTGGTAATATAACATTCACATTGATAACATTTCTAGGTTATATTTCATCCCGAAATCAAAAGAAAGAAACATATTTTTGGACTGTTAAGATTTATTTACATTGTGAGATTCACTGTAATCAAGGTTTAAAGGAATAGTTCAACCAAACATGAAATTTGCTAAAAAAAAAAATGCAAAAGATGTAGATGAAATTTAGGATCATATCACTTGCTCACCAATGGATCATCTGCAGTGAATGGGTGCCG